ATAGCAGTAATTGTTTCTATTAACTGCACATTCTAGAGGGAAGAGGTATTTTGCAGATTGACCACTATTTCACTGTGCATATTGCAGATACTGCGGTGCCAAGGGTTCTCTGAGCGTTTCTGATAAATCTAGGAGAGTTACTGTTTTGTTCAAAACAAACAGGAAGAAATCTGATACAGGATTTTCCTGCTCTGTCAGAGCTTCAGGTAAAGTTAATATTTCCAGTAACTGAGGAACATAGAAGTCTTGAAATATGGATTCATGTGCACATCTCCCAATTCCGCATAATGACTTCTTTATGCAATATCCTGTACAGTGCCAGACTCCCAAACAACTGTAGACCCTCAGCCAACTTCGGAATGCAGTATGTATTCATACTTTCTGTGTTTAGGACAGAGATTGTTATAACTTCCTTTGTGAAAATGTTAATAGTAAACCTAGTGGTTGCTCTGATAACAATGGAAAATATCCCTAGTTGGACTATAATAATGAAAACAATATTCATATATACATGCCAGAGTTAAACATTCATGAGTCACAATCCATAGTATAATACAGAAACGTCTTACCCGTAGCTGGATGTGGACAAGTGAACCGTGCCAACCGCATTGTTGGTGGAGTAGAGACGGAGGTGAACGAATATCCCTGGATGGTTTCTCTTGTCAATGGCAATGGATACTATCACTTCTGTGGCGGTTCTATCATCTCCAGCCAATGGGTCGTCACTGCAGCTCACTGTGCAGCTGTGTAAGTAGCTGTTAATGAACAAAAATGCTTTCCTCTTACTGTTACATATACATTAAAAAAAAAAATGTCCTATTATTTTTACAGCATGAGCACTTCGGATTATGTGTTGGTGGGAGACCACAATCTGTACTCATCAAGTGATGCCAATTCTCAGTGGATGCAGATTGCTGAAGTAAGTGAAATGTCCCCACTTCATCATAGAACAAAATCATTGAATTCATTCGTAAATATTTTTATAAACATACAAAAGTAAACAAGTACCAAACAAGTGATATAAACAATTAGTGAAAAATAGATTATTATAATACGCATCCTTTCCAACAGATCGTGAGTCATCCGTCCTATGATTCTAATACACTGGACAACGACATTGCCCTCATCAGACTCACCACAGAAATACAGTTCCCATCTGACAACAAAATCGCCCCTGTGTGCCTTCCAACAGCTGGTGAAATGTATGATAATGTGGATGCCACAATCACAGGATGGGGAGCCCAACAGGAGGGTGGGTACTGATATTCGCGATATTTGTATATATTTTGTATTATGTTATAGAAAAAAAAAAAAAAAATGCCTGCATTCTCATACAATACATTTAACAGGAGGATCCACATCCGGCACCTTGTTCGAAGTTACAGTGCCCACCATGACTAACACCGAATGCAATAACAAGTATGGAGGAAGCATCACTGACAACATGATCTGCGCAGGCATTCCTGAGGGAGGCAAGGACTCCTGTCAGGTATGTTCTCCCTTTCTTTAAGATGTAAATACTAATCATGTTATCTGCACGCATGCCATTCCTTTCGATATATTCTACACAATATATCTGAATGTCACAGGGAGACTCTGGAGGACCAATGGTAGTGGAAGAAAACGGCAAGTGGAAGCTGGTGGGAGTTGTGTCGTGGGGTAATGGCTGTGCTCGACCTGATAGGCCCGGAGTTTATGCAAGAGTTACACGTGAGTAAATTGTAGTTTACTAATGAATCAAGTTGTACAGTTCAATAACCCAACGCAACTCAAGATTGCCATGAAAGAAAACTATATTTTACCTGTGAGCTACACTAGCACGTTACCTGTTTATGACTGACAGTTTGCCATACCATCGATGTCGTTTCTCTTCCATTATGAACAATAGTCAAAATCATAAAAAAAGACATAGTGTATAGGGATCAATTGTGCCTTCAAATCTAAACAAAGTTTGTGCTTGGTCAAGGGTCAGTTAAGCAAAGATGGAATCACTCTGTTTACCCACTGACTACGGATTTATGTACTCTGAATTTTGTTACATACAGATGGCTCCACATGTACTCAGTCAACAAGGAGTGCATCGGTAGATCCTAGTGATCACTCCTAATTTCCCAATTCCTTAAAACTGCGGGAAAATATGTATTAATATCGATACTGTTATTATTCTTATTGATATTTTGATAATTAAATTGTTATTAAAATCTTGGTAACATTAAAGACAGTGAAATGATACAAAAGAAACAGTCCAAAAATTAAGGAAAAGGGTAAGTAGGTGAGATAGGTAGCAGTAATTGATTCCTTGGTGAATAAGCACTCATAGAGCCGTCAGTGTGTAAATACAATAAATGAACTTATATTATAGTGGACATGACATTCATTTTTGCCATCCGTGCTCATTGGGATCTTTAACATGTCTAGGGCTGTAGTCATTAACACATGCGTCTGTATTCATGAATGAAAGCATTACAGTATTTTTTGTCTGTCACCATATATGAAATGAATGTGAGAGTTCTTGCTATTAATATGTTGATATATTTTCCATAATTCCTCGTCCGTATGAACAAATAAATATCACTTTTTTTGTCAGAATATTTGCAATGGATTTCTGACTCTACAACCGGTGTCTGTGTTGATGGGAACGCACCTGCTCCTACTAATGCCCCGACGCCTGATCCTACTTCTGATTCTGACTGCCGTATGTAAAAATAATGTCTATATTAATCTACAAAATACCATGCTACTAGAAAAAAATCTACAGAGACATTTGTTCCAAATATGAACATATCAGTCTAGCTTCTTGATGAAGTTTTATGTTATACAGACAATCACTTGTACATCCACAGCTGGATGTGGACAAGTGAACCGTGCCAACCGCATTGTTGGTGGAGTAGAGACGGAGGTGAACGAATATCCCTGGATGGTTTCTCTTGTCAACGGCAATGGATACTATCACTTCTGTGGCGGTTCTATCATCTCCAGCCAATGGGTCGTCACTGCAGCTCACTGTGCAGTTGTGTAAGTAGCTATTAATAGAGAAAGAAAGAAAGAAAGAAAAAACATTCTACTCTGAAATGTACAAAAAATCTATTATATTTACAGCATGAGCACCTCGGATTATGTATTGGTGGGAGACCACAACTTGTACTCATCAACCGATGCCAATTCTCAGTGGAAGCAAATTGCTGAAGTAAGTGAAATGTCCTCAGTTTATCACAGACATTGTAAAAAAGTGAATCGATTTGTAAATATTCTTCTAGACTTTCAAGAATAACCAACTATCAAACAAGTGAAATCAACAAATGAAATTAACAAGTGAAATTAACACATTCAACAGATTGTGAGTCATCCGTCCTATGATTCTAATACACTGGACAACGACATTGCCCTCATCAGACTCACCACAGAAATACAGTTCCCATCTGACAACAAAATCGCCCCTGTGTGCCTTCCAACAGCTGGTGAAATGTATGATAATGTGGATGCCATAATCACAGGATGGGGAGCTCAACAGGAGGGTCAGTATTGATTTCTGGTCCAAATTTATTTTCAGTATGTAAGTTATGTGAGAGTAGAACAAAAGTAAGGATTGATTTGCATATATACATTCAATGCATTTGACAGGAGGATCCACATCCGGCACCTTGTTCGAAGTAACGGTACCCACCATGACTAACAATGAATGCAATAGCAAGTATGGTGGAAGCATCACTGCCAATATGATCTGCGCAGGCATTTCTGAGGGAGGCAAGGACTCCTGCCAGGTATGTTCATTCTTCATCCTTTCTTTTTAAAGATACAAATTGAACTTGTCTATTTTGATACATGACATTCCTTTCGATATATTTTACACAATATATCTGAATGTTACAGGGAGACTCTGGTGGACCAATGGTGGTGGAAGAAAACGGCAAGTGGAAGCTGGTGGGAGTTGTGTCGTGGGGATATGGCTGTGCTCGACCTGATAGGCCCGGAGTCTACGCCAGAGTTACACGTTAGTGTTCAGCAGTTACTTTTAGAACTGGCAAGCAGTTTTCAATATGGCGCTAAAAACTTAAATCAATTATAAATGACCAGGTTCTTTATTTCTATTAATGATTAATCTTTTGTGGCAAGTTGGATATTTTACGGGAAATGCTAACAAACGGTTCTGTTTCCTTCTCTTCAGAATACCTTGATTGGATTTCGACCTCGACCGGAGGTGTCTGTCCGGCGGCTGGTTAATCCGTCCATTGAATAGACTAATAGAAGCCTAAGCTGGTCCTTAGACGGCATAGACAAGGAGTTGAGTTGCGGATATACTACCTTTATTACTTACTTTCACGTTTTCTTTCATTTGGCACATTTAAGAAAAAAAAACCTTTTTTGAAATAACTAAAATATCCGGAAGTGACAATAAATTGAGTATATTTCGATTTGTTTTAGTGATCGTCCATACCACAAGCACCTATTGCCGTCTTTGGTAGCGTACGAAGTCCGTGATAGGAGTTCTATTTCATACATCCACTGACCCCTTTGCCTTTGGGTCTCAAGTATTCATACCTTATTAAATGTTCTTTTTTTTGGAAAAAAAGACAAAACATTTATTTTTAACCATGTACAGTAACCACAACGAGCGTGAAACCTAAATCGGCCCGCATTTATTTTTGTATTGTCAAAATGTTTTCATAAAACTGTATTAGTTTTCATTCCCACTATGGAGGAAGCTTCTTACCCTGATGATACCATTACACTCATCTTCCTATTGCAGTAACGACCTTGTTTTTTCGACATTATATGTTCATATTTATTTAGCTCAGTTAATATTAGAATTCATAATATTCATTGCTATCAAAGCTATATTACATGTTCAGATTTCTGAGACATACACTATTCACAATATACAAAATCACCTGTGTTTGAAAGGAAAAGTTTACAAATATTCCAAAACGAAAAAAAAATCATGGTTCATTATTATCTCGATACAGAATGATCTTGAAATATATTCAATACATTACTGTAGGGAAATATAAGCACAACCAGGCTGTACTGTACAATAGAAATGAGGGTAGGCCTCTAGTAACGAATTTCAGTTTGGAAGTTTGGAGCTTAAACGATAAAGTAAAATAGCACAACGCATTGCTGAAACCCTGAACGCCTTTCCTAGCTGATATCCAACGCGCTTGTACTTTCCTTGTACTACCAATGCCGGCTAATGTTAATCAACATTTGCATTCCTCAATGTGTAATGTTGATTTAAGAAGTAATTTTTGTAGAGCATAATATATCAGTGAGCACATTTTTTTTTTATTGTAAGTCATCTTTGGTTCAGCAAGAAAAGCTCTCTCTTCCATAGCGAGAATGAAAACCAATACAATTTTACGAAAACACCACCATGGTAAAAAAAAAAAAAGAAAAGAAAAAAAAGATGCATATATACATATATTGTATACATATATATATTCAAAGAAAGAGAGAGAGAGAATGTATATATATGCATATATTGTATACATATATTCAAAGAGAGAGAGAGAGAAAGAGAGAAAGAGGGAGAGAAAGAATGGGAATGTCTCTGGACAAATCTTGAGTGGTCCCTTGTGCTGTTATGCTATTGTTGATACTTAAGCATATTATTTGAAATGAGGTGTTAGTTTTTTCCCCAATTCGTCTTATGCCTGGCAGCGCATTCAACAGCCAACCAGCGTTTGTGACGAGCAATAACGTCGTCAGCAGAACTCTAAACGGGTTTGACTTTCATACTCTACCAAAGGCGGCTGTAATGTGTGCTTCTTGTGTTTAGATGTCAATGCATGTTATTGTGCAACTGAGGAAACATATTGACATCGTACCCCATGCGAAGAGCCATGGAGTCATATAGCAAACTATATTCACTATAGTTATAATGAAATGTTTTTACAGTTATAAAAACATTACTATTACTATTTCTAAAACATACGGTGTTTTATGTTGGCGGTTTCATGTCTTCAATAATAAAAGGATAATTATGACCATCGTGGGATATGCACAATACGTTCTATATATTGCCTAACCAGTGGGCTCTCCCCCTGGACCCCCGTGGTATTATATGCACCTAGCATATAATACCATATAATATCTGCCCCCTGGACCCCAAGGATAAAACCTTTATCTAGCGAAACAAAACTTTTCTTTGCTTCTGTCTATGGTCTGAATTACTTAGTTTCATTTGAGGTGTTTGATGGGCTTAGATATCAAGCTGTGATCGATACTAACGTCTGTTTCTTCTGTATGGCCACAATATTGCTTTAAAATAATCCGGTTTTGACGAACACTTATACGAAGACATTCCTCGCCGGCGTTTGTCACGGATTTTACTCAAGGCCTTGGTTCTAGTCTTTGTCTCTTTCTGTCCTTGACCCTGTATCTGTGTCTCTTTGTCTCCCGTTCTCAATTTTAGTTTGTTTACTTTGTTTCAAAATTATTGATTACTTGTTACATTTTTTTTGGCCAGCTCTCTCAAGGAGCATGAATAGGACAGTGAAATATCTCTTCTGTCCACTAGCTTCCACTACCTACCTGTTTCCCTCCCCTGCTAGGGCCCAGCTCAGCTGGTATACCGATTGCCTGACCAAGGGTTTATTTGATTTAAGATTGAGAGCATTTCACTTCTACTCATGTGTACAGGTATTCATAATTTTTCTAAAGCATTGTGGTTTCGTATGATAACGCTTCGTGTGCTATGAATATATTTAATGTGTTCTGAGCATATCTAATTACCTAAGCGAGCAAATTTTAGTTTAGTTTAGTGCTTTATTTACCACCCTGGCTAACTGCACAGGCGTGGGCAAGCTGTGGTACATTTAATGCATGGTCATAACATTACATAATGTTATTACATTTGGATATTATCCTATAACATTGTTATGATAAGTACTTTATCAGTTCAAGGAAAGGAACAATTGCACAGTCCTTTATCTATTCATCTACCACGCTGGCGTATAGCTTGGGCGTGGAAAAGCATTAATACATTTGATATGCAGTCATGTGATACTACATTCCAAATTTAGGATACAACATAAGTATATCTTCTAAGATATCAGGTGATATGATGTAGTTACATAGTTCTCCGTACCTCATGCTAGGTGGTCTGAAAGGCTGTAACACATGGCACTCAGAGATATAATAAGTTAAGTTAAGTAAGTTTATTTACCACCCTGGCTATCTGCTCAGGCGTGGGCAATCATGATTACAGCTTTGCATATATCTGACACAGTACAGTAGTCTGTGACTACTGTGATTGTACATGGTAGTATAGAAATATGTCATACATCATACAAAAATAATACGTTGATATGATTTTGCCACTGTGTTTGCATAACACTGTGTTTTTGTTTACAGCAGTTTTACATAGTAAATTTAGGATATAATACGAGTATATCTTCCAATGTATCAGATGAAATGAAATATTCACATAGTTCTTTATACCTCATGTTAGGTGGTCTGAAAGGCTGTATCACACGACATTCCGAGATATAATGCTCAAGCGTTCGCTTGTTTTCTTCGTTGCACAGTCTACATTTAGATTCATATGCACTTCTTGCACCGTGCAATACATTCTGTAACCTAAACGTATTTTGGCAATAACCACGTCACATTGTCTGGTTCGACTTCGGTGCCACCCATAGGAGGGCTTGCTATCTCTATACTGATCGTAGTGCCTTATGGTACAGCTTTTAGGCCTTTGAGTGTTCGTCAAATCTACTAGTTCTTCCTTATGAGAACTTTTCAATATATATGCAACCTAGCAAGAGACATCCCAAGATCTATGTACACAGTATCTTTGCTGCAGGCATCCTTCGCCAATTTGTCTACGTGGTGCTTGCTTATGCCTACATGAGATGGTAGCCATACAAACTGAATGTTGAAATCTCGCTCTATTGCACAAGTTACGTTACGCTTAATGCAACTTACAATTTCCTCATCGCCACCTGCTTTGAAGAGCACTCTGAGAGTCACAGATAACTACTCCAGAGCCCCGAGACACTAAGAATTCCGTTGCAAGGAGTATACCTGCCAGCTCCGTTTGTGTAGTGCTGGCCCAATTATGCACTCTCATATTAACTTGATATTGTAGTAAGCCATTTTTGTATACAGTACAAGCGCAACCAGCTTTGTATCCAGACTTTACGGATCCGTCAACGTAACACTCGTATACATCATCGCCCATAGACTCTGTGTGTTCCTTTTCCTTTGCTAATGCAATTTGTTTTAACACGCAGTTATGTACACTGTTTTTTTTTGTAGTAGACACGTAAGGTGCACGATCAAATGTGATTCTTTCCATGGTGGAATGGATCGACCCTGTGGTATTTTACTAATTGGGACATTGAGCTTTGTAATGTTCATGGAAATTTTGTGTATTAGAGGGCGCGCGTGTGTGTGATTAGTCACGTCTGTTTGCGTGATTTTGTGCTGCAATTGTTTTTGGAAGTCTGAGAGATACAAGGGTTCCCTCAGAGCTTTGACCCCAAATATAGTGGAAATGAACATTATTCTATCAGAGATGGATGGTAGGTTAAGTTCTGACCTCATGTTCACTATCCTTGCTGTTCTCGGGGCGCCGAGGATAATCCTCATTGCTTCATTTTGCACTACCTCCAAGCTATTTATTTCTGGTTCCTTGCACTGCAACAAGTGCAGTGCATGGTAGTCTACAACTGATCTTATAAAAGCCAAGTAAAACAGTCTAGCGAGCTTAACATTGATGCCATGTTCTCTTCCAACAAGGACTTTCAACGGTTTCAGTCTCTCCCAGAGTCTCTTTTTCAGAGAAAGGATCAGGTCTGCATCATTTATGTTCACCCCGAGATATTTATATTTATGACACATGTCAAGCTCCTGGTCACCTATGCGATATGTGGGTAGGGGTATGATACATGGATTGAGAGCCATTGTTTTCTCAGCGGATATGACTAATCCACACTCATGAGCCCTAGTTGTGAGCTTGTCGAGAATTATTTGCATCCTCTCTTGTGATGATGCTTTGACGCATATGTTATCAGCATAGCATACAATGGATTCCCCATCCCCAAGTCGAATATCTGCCACCAGCTTGTGCATGAGGACATTGAATGTACGTGAAATATGGGTTTTAACACCGTAGGATACGGCGTCTAGGCGTCATCCAAGGTAGTCACTCGGATCCCTGGCTATGTATCCGCGGATTCAAAACAAAGCGTTTTGGTAGAACGTTCGCGTAACACAAGCGTAACTGCGGCTAAGTAGTAACGAAAACTAAATAAACTGATGGTACAGAACAATGCTTACGTTCAATGATAAATTAAGATTCCAAATAATCTTAACAATCGTTATAAAACATTTACTATGATATAAGGAATATTGCATAATTAATTTTCATGAATATGTTGTAAACGATATAAAGGCAAAGCATGTACTCTTACACAATTGTGATAATGATTAAAAGATATAATAAAAATAAATGTACGTGATCCTTGTTAATTAACTAAGTTTTACTTCAGTCATGGTTTTAATGCTACACACACACACACACACACACATACATATATAAATCCGATAACCGCTATCTCGTATGGTTGCACGTTTCATGCGTATACAACTAACATGCTAAGTACCTAATAGATTAAAAAATCACTGGTTTTATTCTATTTAGAGAGCATCACTAGGGTTTTCAACGCATCTGCGCGAGATCAAAGGCGGGTTCGGGTTTCCCTCTCCTATTTCCGCCTGAACAGCTAATTATCTACCAACTAGGGTCATCACTTGTCTCTACGTGTCGATCCAGTTATGTTTTGCTAATTAGCCTCAAAGGGCAATGCAAGGCTTTTCCAAAAGTGTTCCTGCCTCATTTCTCATTTTCTTACAATCTACCATGCAAACTAGGGAATATGTTCAGCTTTCTCTTACGGCACATATGTATAACTATATGCAGACGGGTGTATCCTTGCATGAGAGGTTGTATACCAATACAGTGTATTCCCTTTCTGATATAAAAAGACCAGTGGAA